AGCCTGTTTCAAAAACAAGTTCAAACTCTGAAAAAAAGCATCTCTTAAATCCATTATTGCTGAGAAGCTTGCTATTAGCTGGGCACAGTGGTACACACCTGTAATTCTAACACTCTTGCTGGAAGCTGAAGGACTACTGTTTCAACCCAGCCTAGGTAACTGAACGAGAATATTCTCAAAATAAAGTCCTGGGGACCCAGCCCAGTGCAAAAGTCCTGGGATAAAACTCTAGCATGGGGAGGGGGATTTATACTGCTCTACTTTTTCATTTCTTCTTTCCATCTGGTACTGGGGTCTAAGCCCAGGACCTTTACATTAAGCTACATCCTCAACTCATTTTTATTTTGAGACAGGGTCTCCTCAAGTCTCTAAATTGAACAGGCAGGACTCAAACCTCCTAAGATTCAGCACCCCAGGGTTCTGAAGTTACAGGTAGTAGATGTATGTGACCATAACCAGCTATAAGTGGTATATGCCTACAATCCTCCATTGGGGAAGCTGAGGAAGGAGGCTTACCATGAGTTCAAGGCCAGTCTGGGCTACATAGCAACACCCTTTCTAAAAACAAAAAACCCAAACACAAAACCAAATAAAAAACTTAGAATATAGTCCAGTGGCACTGTGCCTCCCTAGCAAGCACAAGGTCCTGAGTTCAATTCCTGATGGGGGACAAAAAATAAAAAACAAGCACCAAATGTGCGACCTTTCAAAGTAACTTGGATTTTTCTCCTCGTCTTTATTAATTTCACTCTGGTCTGGGGAGATAGCTCAGGAGAATAAGCACTTGCCTGGCATGTGCAAGGGCCTGAGTTCAATTCCCCGTTCCGAAAAAAAAAAAAAAAAAAAAAAATTCACTCTACTGTATAAAACCATGGGATTTTAAAGACATGTTATATCATGTTTGGCATGTTTTTTTGAGGGTGGAGATGAGAAAGGGTCTTTTTTTTTTTGGCAGAACCGGGGATAGAACTCGGGCCCTTGCACTTATCAGGGAAGCACTTATTCTACTGAGCCATCTCCCCAGCCCTGAGAAAGGGTCTTACTATGTAACTCACACTGACCTTGAACTTGTATCAATCCTCCTGCCTCAGCCTCCTAAATGTTGGGATTGCAGCTATGCGCCTCCACACACAGCAATACAGAAATACTACTACAGGGATACACATAAATATAGAAATACTAATACCCTCCATACCACATTTCTATCATCTTTCCCTCTTTATCCTTTCATAATGCCTTTCAGAACTCTTTTAACTTTTAATTCTTTAACTGGCCTTCAATGAGTCTACAAAACTGAAAATGTTCACCAGCCTTTTTTTGTCTTCATCCATGTTTCTCGAGAGGTCTTGAAGCTACACAGTTTTGAAATGAATTATGAGTCTATCACTTTGTAACTGAAAGAAAGCAGAGCTTTCAATTCTCCCCATAAAGACTGAACCAGACAGGATTTTCCCAAGGTTTTTTTTGAACCAGGAATGGAACTCAAGGCCTCATACTTGCCAGGCAGGCACTGTGCCACTGAGCTATATATCCCCCAGTCCATCCCAGCTTTCTCTTTTTTTTTTTTTTTTTTTCAGAACTGGGGATTGAACTTGGGCCCTTGCACTTGCCAGGCAAGCATTTATTCTACTGAGCTATCATCTCTCTGGCCCCCATCCCATCTTTCTCAAAGAGGGAAACTCATCAATTCTTTCTCTCTGCCTCTGAAGATTCATAATTTCATGAATCACATGAATATCGCTGAAATACCTATGGCCAGGAGTCCAAGTAGTAGCTAAGCAATTCCTCAACTAAGTTCCAAGGGCAACAATGAATAACAGGCAACTTCATAGAGTGGAGTGGAGTGAAACTATCACCTTAAGTCATGCAAGACCTCATGCCTCGGTTGTCATCTTTTTCTGACTAAAGGAGAGAAAGGAGTTTGACAAAATAGCCACCTCGGGGAGACAGCTCAGCAGCATAAGCACCTGCCTTGCAAGTGCAAGGTCCTGAGTTCAATCCCCTCTACTGGGGGAAAAAAAAAAAAAAAAAAAAAGCACCTGTCTCAAAATAACCACCTCTTGACAAAGCAGCAGGATCAGATCCTGGTCCACACTCGCCCTCCTCCTCTCATTCCCAGACCTTTACTGAGATGCTTGACAGGATTCCTTTCCATGGCTGCCCCACAAGCTGCTTACCAAAGGCTAGGGACTTCATTCTGACTCTACATTCTGGATATGAAATAGTGAGTTTTCCATCTGATTCACAATTTTTCTTCGAACAATTAACCACATTAGGAAATATTGTCTCTATGAAATGTGTGAGCCTAACCACATAGGAGAAAAGATTCACTTACTTTGCCTGCAGGGTCTGCCTGGGCCATGTGCCATCCTCGTTTTGGGGCTCAATTATTAGCACCTAAAAGGGGAAACCAAATGAGGAGGGTGCCACCCACCACATGTCTGATATGCTTCAGCCAGAGGTTTCTGGTCACATGCCCTGGGCAGAGTTGCTTGCTTACGCATGGCTTGGGCCTTCCTACCTGGCCTTGGTACAGCCCAGCATCCTGGATAGTGTTGTCCAGCTTGCTCAGCTGCTCATAGGTATTACTCATGTATTTATTCCAGAGCCGCGTTTCACGATCTGCTGGGATGTTAAAAAGCTTCCGCATTTCCTTCTCAATGGTTGCTAAGGAGAGACAGAGACATCACTCAGAGATTTCTCGATAAAGACAAAGATAATGGAAGCAACCAGTACCTACCTCCTCCCTTGTCAGATATGCATAAAGTACTCTGGATTTTTTTTTTTTGGGGGGGGGTTGGTTTATCTAGGATAGAACTCAGGACTTTGTGCTTGCTAGGCAGGCACTTATGCCACTGAGCTATCTCTCCAGCCTCTTGCCCAAGTACTCTGAAATAAAAGTACTGACAAACCTCAGTCCCACCACTTTGTATGAGTGGAAAATGTCCCTATGCTTCTCTGATAATGTAGGTCTCATAGCAGAGAAGCAACATAGAAAGCAAGAAAATGAGGGTAGGAACATTAGCTCAGTGGTGAGCACTTGCCTAGCATGGATGAAGCCCTGAGTTTATCCTGGGCATGGTGAGGAAAAAAAGACAATCTCTGCACTGAAGAAAAAAAGTGAAAAATTTTTCTTTGGAGTTAAGACAGATGTGGCTCCCCCGGCCCAAGACAGGGTCTTGCTTTTAGCCCAGGATGGCCTCAAATTCACTGTCATCCTCTTGCCTCAGCTTTTGTATGCTGGAGTTACAGGCATGTGCCACCACATCCAGCTAGGTGTAGCTTCAAAAACTAGCCAGTGACAAGAGCAAGGATCCAAGTTCGATCTCTGGTATCACCTGCTGTGTTGGCCCTAGAATCCTAGGTGTGCATGTGGTGGCACACACCTGTAATCCCAGCACTGGGGAGGGTGAGACGGGATTACTACAAGTCTGAGCTGTGTAGCACGACTCTATAACAAACAAACAAATATTAAACAAAAAAAAATACTGGCCAATGGGGGCTGGTGAGATGGCTCAGTGGTCTAAAGCACTTACTTAGAACAAGCTTAGCAAAGTACAGGGACCGCGGTTCAATCTCCCAGCACCACATGCCAGCCAGCCCCACCCCCTGGTGGGCTGAGCTGGCCACACACACACACATAAATAAATAAATAAAAATTAAAAAAATACTGGCCAATGAAAATAGCTCAGTGGCACAACACCTGTCTGGCAAGCACAAGGCCCCCAGTTTGACCCTTGGTACAAAAAAAAAAGCTATGAAGCTGGGCATCATGACATACATCTATAATAATGCCAGTACTTTTGGAGGCTGACTCCAGAATTGTAATTTTGTCCAGTCTGACCAATTTATCAAGAACCTGTTGATCTGTCTCTTTCTCTCCCCCTTCCTATATGGTACTAAGCTACATGCCCAGATGCTTTTATTCTTTACTCTGAGACGTCTCAGGAAGTTTCCCAGGCAAACCTTAAAACTTGCCAATTCTTCTGCCTTGGCCTCACAGCATGCTGGGATTATATGCGTGTGCCATCATTTCCAGCTACAAGAACTGTTTCTGCTTTTCTTCCTATTCCCATATGACAAATGGACAAGAACCACACTCGGTGTACTAGACAAGATTCCTGGACATGTTTCACCACAAGAATCTCTGGAGAAAAGGCTCTGGGTCAACATGATCTAGGTAACAAGTCTGCAGAGAGCGCATAGCTTCCCTTCCATCAGCCATACTGCCCTACAGTCTCTCAGCACACCTGAAACCCCAGCCTACTTGCTCACCAATGGTGTCTGCCTTGCTGAAATGGCAACTCAGCACATTGGTGGGGTCACTGTTCTCACAGAGCTTCAGTTCCAGCAAATATACCTCCACTTTGCAGTGCTTGACAAACAGGCCATGCTCCACAACCTGTGAACAAGAGATAAAGTCAAAAAGAAGTGCTTCCATACCCAGGCAGTCTTAGAAGTCAGTGACAGCAAACAACAGAACACTCATTATCATCAGTTTCCTTCAGTCATCAAGGGATGAGAAGTACAAGTTTTTTTAAGTACAGATTTTTAAAACTGTCAGCGTCTGTTCCAGGAAATTAAAACTCTTTTCTCCAGGCATGGTGGTACATACCTATAATCCCAGCACTCAAGAGGCTGAGGCAGAAGGATTGCCAAGAGTTTGACACCAGCTTGAACTACATGAGACTCAGTCTCAAAAAAAACATACAAGAAACTTTTTTTCAACTTATTAGGACCTACCAAGGGCACTTGATGGTACCATAGAAGAAAGCTTGTGCAACAAACTTGGCAAATGTAAGTTTAGACTCCTACTCCTGAAAGTACACACCTGACTATGGGAAATAATTTCTGGGTTGGGGTAAAACTCAGGGATAAAGCACATGCTTGACATGTGTAAGACCCCAAGTTCAATTCCCAGCACCAAAACAAACAAGAAACCCTTAACTCATTAATTCAGAGTCGTGCTAGCCCATAAAGCCAGATACTGCCTAAAAAGAAAGTCACTGTTCACCTCCAACACAAGACCATGATCCTTCCCTTGAAGGAGCTCTCTAATCAGAGGATTGAGAACATAGGCACAAGTCAGGCATGGTGGCACACACCTGTAATCCCCACACTTGTGAGGCTGGAGGATCGCTGCGAGTTCCAGACCAGCCTGGACTACGAAGTAAGCTCAAGGTCAGCCTGAACTGCATAGTAAGACCCTGCCTCAAAAAAAGGAAAAGAAAGACTCATAGACACAAGGCCTTAGGACTGCAGTACTCTCCTCTTCTACTAAAACGGAGAACATACACCAGCAGAGTGAGAGTTACTTAATGCAGGAACATTCAGAGCCATGCGGGCTCCTGTGTTTCTTTGTGGTAGGACAAGCAAACAACGTGGGAGACAAGAAAGTGGTCTTCTCATGAGTCCTGACTATCAGAGCCACTAACAATCTGTCCCAGAGCCTACCTTCCCAAAGAGGTTTTGTTAATTCCTCAACCATATGACCAAAGAGCATTACACTCAGGGGGTAAAGGTCAGAAAGGTGGTGAAGGTGGGCATGGTGGTGTCTGCAATGTTAGCAATTTGATCCAGGGCCTCACACATCTAGGCAAACTCTCCACCACTCAGCTCCATCCCAAGCCCTAGAAATATTTTAAAATGAGAGGGGAGTCAGGCGTTGTGGCCCACACCTATAATCCCAGATACTGGGGGCCTGGCCATAGCTCAGTTCTTTAAGTGGCTGCTTCCACAAAGCTGTCAGCCTCAGGTTGCTGTAGTTCCATTCCCACAATACTCCAGCCAGCCAAACCACGCCTGAAGGCATTCAGAGGAAAAAAAAAAAAAAAAAAAAAACTTAATCCCAGATACTGAGAAAAATCTCAAGCAAGTTTGTGGCCAGTCTGGGCAACTGAGTGAAACCCTGTCTCAAAATAAAAAGGTTGGGGATGTAGTTCAATGTCCTCAGGACTCAATTCCAAGTATTAGGAAGCCAATGTATGTTTGTGGGGGGAGTGGGAGGTGGTGTTAAACTAAATTGTTAGGAGGAAAAAAATATGTAACTATACATCCATCTGGTCCTCAGAGCCTTTGAGAAAGCTCTCCCACACTGCTGGGCATATCCCAAAGTAACCGGCAGAGTCAGGGACTACTCACTCTAACACCATTGGTAAGTAGACTTACTTACCACCATGTAACCAAAATCCCTTAAGAGAGCCATAAACAAGGGCTCCACTAACCTCTTAAACATGTTCATTTTCCTAGGAAACCAACACAGGCCAAGTGTCACCCAAGGAGCACATGTGGGGACTGATCAGCAAATGTTCACATACTCACTTTCCTGACAATAGGCTGCTGGCCCTCCACACAGCCATACCAATTCAGTAGTTTGTTCCAGGCCTCAGTTGGGACCAACACATAGTCCAGCTCATCAATTAAGTGTTCTTTCAAGGTCTGACTCTCAGGATCTGGAAAAAGAAATAGCACATAACTCCCTGCTCTTCCAGAAATATTTGTTTTGCAAATGTACTTTTTCATCAACAACAGAACAGAAAGAAGTACGAATCTCAAAATTCTGTAAGGGCTAGGGATATAGCACACAAGCACAAGTGCTTGCCTGAGAAGCGCAAGGTTCAATCCTCAGTACCGCAAAAAAAAAAAAAAAAAAAAAAAAAGCATGTAAATTGACATAACAAAGCAGACTGCTGACTGACGTTTGATCTTTTTTTTTTAAATTTTTATTTGTGTGTGTGTGTGTGTGTGTGTGTGTGTGTGGCCAGCTCAGCCCACCAGGGGGCAGGGCTGGCTGGCATGTGGTGCTGGGGGATTGAACAGCGGTCCCTGTGTTTGCTAAGCTTGTTCTAAGTAGGTGCTTTAGACCACTGAGCCATCTCACCAGCCCCTGACGTTTGATCTTAGCCGTTTTTTCTATACATTTTATGAAGGACTTCTGTCCCTTTTAAGAATCAGTGAGAAAAGAAAGTTAGGTGTGGTGACACAAGAGTGTAATCCCACCTATCCTGGAAGCTCCATCCTTCTCAATTAAAGGACTAAGAGATACTATGTCTCAAAATACAAATAAAAATACAAGGCTGGGAACTAAGCACAGTGGCCTAGTAACCCAGCCCCCAAACACAAAAGTAAAAAAGAGAACAAAACCTTCCAATTTGGGGCTGGTGAGATGGCTCAGTGGTCTAAAGCACCTACTTAGAACAAGCTTAGCAAAGCACAGGAACCACGGTTCAATCCCCCAGCACCACATGCCAGCCAGCCAGCCCTGCCCCCTGGTGGGCTGAGCTGGCGCCGCACGCGCACACACACACACACACACACACACACATAAATAAATAAATAAAATTAAAAAAAAAAAACAAAAAAACCTTCCAATTTAAAATCTTTTTTTTTCTTTTCTTTCTTTTTTTGGTGAAACCAGGGATTGAACTCAGACCCTTGTGCTTGCCAGGGAAGCACTTATTCTACTGAGCCATCTCCCTGGCCCCTGTATTTTTCTTTTCAGTACTAGTGATTGAACCCAGGGCCTTCACAATAAGCTATATCCCTAGCCTTTATTTTATTCTGAAACATGGACTCACTAAATCACTAAATTGGTCAGGCTGGGCTTAAACTTTTGATCCTCCTATGTTAGCTTCCCAAAGTGCTGGGATTTCAGGTATGAGTGCCATCTTTCTAATTTATGTCACTGAAGGGCTTTCAAATTTCACAATTTAAATGGTTAATTAATGTAAGTTATATACCCCACCCAAAAAAAAAGCTTACCATGAAAGCAAACAAATGAGGCTGGGGTATACCTTTAGTGATAGGGCCCATGAGTAGCATGAGTACCAGGCCCTGGGTTCATTCTCTAACATGAACAAAAGTAAAGAATGTTAAATGATTTTTTTTTTTTTTTTTTTTAAAGAGGGCGAGGTATGCCAGGACTCAAACTCAAGATCTTTTATCTGCCAGGTAGGAACTGTGCCACTGAGCTATATTCCTGGCCCTATGACTCTTGATAAACTTAAGTTCAATGCCAAACTGGTTTTCTGTTGTTGCTGTTTTGGTGCTGGATATCAAACCTAAGGGCCTCCTGCAGAATATATAAGCACTCTACAACTGAGCTACCCCCAGCCTCTCACTTACAGCAATATTTGTATTCTTTTTTTTAATTCATCTGTTTTTGCAGTCCAGTGACCAAACTAGGGTTTCCTACATGCCAGACAAGCACCACTGCACTATGCCAAAACTCAGCATTCTTAATTTTAAATACACCAAGTCAAAGCTCAACAGTTCTGGGCTGGTGAGATGGCTCAGTGGTCTAAAGCACCTACTTAGAACAAACTAAGCCAAGCAAAGCACAGGGACCACGGTTCAATCCCCCAGCACCACATGCCAGCCAGCCCCGCCCCCTGGTGGGCTGAGCTGGCCACACACACAAAATAAATAAATAAATCAATCAATAAAATTAAAAAAAAAAAAAGCTCAACAGTTCTCATTCAGGGGCTGGGGACATAGCTCAGTGGCATAAAAATAAATAACCCCACGCAGGCCTTCAATGATGGAGCACACCTATAATCCCAGCACTCAGGGGGGGCTGAGGCAGGAAGATCATTTATAGTTCAACAGCAGCCTGGGCTACAAACTGAGTTCAAGTCCAGCCTGAGCTGCACAGTGAAACCCTATCTCAAAAAGACAAAGAGACAGAGAAAGGGAGAGACAAAGAGAAAGAAACTGAAGATGGGGAAGGGAAGAACTGAGAGGGGAGGGGAGGGGAGGGGAAAGGAAGTGAGCAAGCAAGGAGCTTAATTTAAGGATTTCTAAAGACTACTTTTACACACCCAAGTCAAGGATACTTATTTCTATCTCCTCCCATCAGCAAAGGCAGGTTCAGAGCGTCCATGTCACAGATACATAAAACCCCAGCTGGATATGATGGCACACCCCTGTAATCCCAGCATTTAGGAGAATGAGTCAGGAGGATTACTGAGTTCTAGACCATCATCCTATACTGCCAGTGCCAGACTGTGTTTCAAGGGGAGAGAAAAAAGCAACTCAGGCCATTGCCCAGGTGATCATTTAGCTAGAAGCATACTATACCTGAAAAGAGTCCAGAGTTGTCTATTGGTCCAGGAAATAGGTTATGTTCTCCCACATTATACATATCCCAGCTATCAAAGCCCACGTACTTCTTCCATTGCTTGAACCATCGGCTGTCAATAAGATACCTAGGGAGAGACAATTTACTATAGCAAAAAAGATTATGTCACAAGTTTCTGGACCTCCCCCTTAACCTTTCTAGTTCCTTTTTTATGTTTCAGTGCTGAGAATTTGAACTTGAGACCTCTGGCTTGTGGTAGGCAAGTGCTCTACCACTGAACTATATGCCATACCACCTTAATCTTTATTATGATTTTTTGACCTCAATATGAAACCCCATCATTATACACACTCCCAATCAAGGGCCAGCACCACACCACAGCACAAATGGCTTGGCCTAAAGCAGTCTACACAGTAAGACTGCTACAAGACTAAATATTAATGAGATAGCTCAGCAGACTAAGACGCCTGCTTAGGCAAGCTTAGGCAAGCATAGGGACAGGGACTGAGGTCCAATCCTGGCACCACATGTAGTGCCAACCCCACTCCCAAGGTGGGCTGAGTCAGCCAGAGTGTGAGCGTAGTGGTTCATGCCTCTAATCTCAGCACTGGGGAGGCTGAAAGCAGGATCACCAGGAGTCCGAGCTGCACAGTAAGACCCTGCAACAACCAAACACATTAAGAAAGAAAGAACCCTACATTCAATCCCCAGCACCACAAAAAGAAAAAAGAATGCTAAATAAATAAAAGAAAGAAAACAACCTCCTAGTTTCAAAATGCTTATTTAGGGCCTGGGAGATGGCTCAGTAGAATAAGCGCTTCCCTGGCAAGCGCAAGGGTCTGAGTTCAATCCCCGGTTCCACCAAAAAAAAAAAAAAAAAAAAAAAAAAAGCTTATTTATCAGAACATGGTGATGTATGCTTGTAATCCTAGCCCTTGGGAGACTAATGCAGGAGTACAACAAGTTCAGGGCCAGCATGGGCTACAAAGTGAATTCCAAGACAACCTGAAATGCAGAGAAACCCTGTCAAAAAAAAAAAAAAATGCTTAAAGAGAGTGTTCCATTGAGTCTGGTGACAAATTCCTTTAATTCCTGCCTGTAATCCCAGCTAAGGCAGGTAGATAGTAAATTTGAGCCAAATTTGGCAATTTAGCAAGACCATCTCAAAAAATTTTAAAAGGGCTGAGGATATACTACAGTGAAAAGGTCCAATCACTATGTACTGTATCAATCAATCAATCAATCAATCAATCAGTGGTGTCAAGTAAGTAAATACATAAATAAGAGTCTTCTCGTGGGCTTGGGATGTAGCTCAATAGCAGAACATTTACCAAGTATGTGCAAGGGTCAGGGTTCAAGCCTCAGTACCACAAAATTTAAAAACAAAAAACAAAAAACATTATTTTGGAAGATTTCTGTCAGCAAAATCATGTTTGTTAAATCACTGATTTAATAATAATCTTTATAGAGGTGTCTGTCCAGGTCAACAGCTTGGTTACACTATTTTGCTTAACATAAATAGTACTGATTTTTTTTCTCAAAATGGAATACCACCGCCTCCCAACTCTATTACCTTTCGAGGACCAAATAAGATAATATCCCAAAATAACCTGGACACAGTGACACATACCTGTGATGCCTACAATCCAGAGGCTAAGGGAGGAAGAACTCAGTGAATGCAGGGGCACCCTGGCCTGATTGTGAGTGAGCAATCCTCTTGCCTCAGCCTCTCAAGTGCTGGATTTATAAGCATACATCCTCATGGACAGTTTATTTTCAATTTACTGCTTTCTATATAAGCAAATGTAGTGGTCCAGCATGGTTGCACACATTTGTAATCCCAACACTTGGGAGGCTGAGGCAGTAGGATTACCATGAGTTCAGGGCCAGCCTAGACTCAATACTGAGTTTGGGGCCAGCCTGAACAATGTAGCAAGAACCTACCTCAGGGCTGGAGAGATGGCTCAGTGGTCTAAAGCACCTACTTGAAACAAGCTTGGCAAAGCACAGGGACCTCGGTTCGATCCCTCGGCACCACATGCCAGCCAGCCCCGCCCTCTGGTGGGCTGAGCTGGCCACACACACACACAATAAATAAATGTAATAAATAAAAATAAATAAATAAATAAATAAAAGAACCTACCTCAATAAGTCAGGTGCAGAAGCACTTGCCTGGCAAGCACAAGGTCTGGAGTTCAAACCCCAGTACTAGGCGGAGGGGTGAACCTATCTCAAAAATCAAACAATAACGACAAAAAAAAAAAAAAAAAAACCCACAAAAATTAGCAAATCTAGTTTATTGTAAAAGTATAAAATAGGGCCGGGCAGGTGGCTCAGTAGAATAAGCACTTCCCTGGCAAGCGCAAGGGCCTGAGTTCAATCCCCGGTTCCGCAAAAAAAAAAAAAAAAAAAAAAAAAAAAACCCACAAAAATTAGCAAATCTAGTTTATTGTAAAAGTATAAAATAGGGCCGGGCAGGTGGCTCAGTAGAATAAGCACTTCCCTGGCAAGCGCAAGGGCCTGAGTTCAATCCCCGGTTCCGCAAAAAAAAAAAAAAAAAAGTATAAAATAACTATTTTATAGCTAAGACAAGCTGGGCATGGTGGCATACACCTGTAATCCCATAGCACTGGGGAGGCTGAGGCAAGAGAATGAGTTCAAGTCCTGTCTGCACTACAAGTGAGCTCAAAGCCAGCCTAACTGCATAGTCAGACCCTATCTCAAGAAGACAGAGAATAAAATAAAATATACCTAAGGCAGGGGGTAGGGATCTAGTTCAGTAGTAGAGCTCTTGCCTGCATGCACAAGACTCTGGGTTCTATTCCTCAGCACCACCACAAAAAATTAAAAAAGCAAACTACAAAAACTAAGACAAGAGAGGGAAACTCTTGCAAGACAACAAAACACTACTATATTGGTGAGTCTATTAATTAATTATTTTGGCAGAACCAGGGATTGAACTCAGGCCCTTGTGCTTGCCAGGAAAGAACTTACTCCACTAAGCCATCTCCCGGCCGATAATTTTTTAAAGACATGTCAGACAATTCAGGCAGCTTCCCTGAATTTTTTTTTTTTTTTTTTTTTTTTTTGGCAGTACCAGGGATTGAACTCAGGACCTTGCACTTGCCAGGCAGGTGCTTATGTCACTGAGCCATGTCACTGAGCCATATCCCTGGCCTCCTCCCTGAAATCTTTGAAACTGTTTTCCCTTTGAATCTTTTGACCAACACTATCCGTACACTTTAACTGTATGATTTTAATCTATCTTAAATTTTTCATGCTTCTACTTAGTATTCTTCATTGATACACAAGTGATATCCCCTTTGTAGAATAGCTTCAAAAACACCTCTGCTTGCTTTTCACAGCTTGCAACTCAAGATAAACACCATAAACCTGAGCCAGGTATGGTGGTCCACTTCTGTAATCCCAGCACTTGGGAGGATGAGACAGGAGGATTAATTCCAGTTCAAGATCTGCCTGGGAGGCTGAGAAGATAGCTCAGTAGAATAAGTGCCTGCCTGGCAAGCACAGGGTCCTGAGTTCAATCCCCGTTACACTACAAAGTGAGCTCAAACCCAGCCTGAGCTGCATAATGAGACATTTTTTTTTTTATTTATGTGTGTGTGCGAGTGGCCAGCTCAGCCCACCAGGGGGCGGGGCTGGCTGGCATGTGGTGCTGGGGGATTGAACCGCGGTCTCTGTGCTTTAGCTAAACTTGTTCGAAGTAGGTGCCTTAGACCATTGAGCCATCTCACCAGCCCCTTATTTTTTTTTTAATGGTTTTTTTTTTTTTAAATTTTATTTAAGTGTGTGTGTGTGTGTGTGTGTGTGTGGCCAGCTCAGCCCACCAGGGGGCGGGGCTGGCTGGCATGTGGTACTGGGGGATTAAACCTCGGTACCTGTGCTTTGCTAAGCTTGTTTCAAGTAAGTGCTTTAGACCACTGAGCCATCTCACCAGCCCAGTGAGACCTTATTTCAAAAAGACCAAAAAAAAAAAAAGAAGAAAAAGAAGGCTGTAACTGTTGCTCAGTATAAAGACTATCAAATACATATATACATATATACACACAAATATATGTATTAAATACACTATTTCTACTGTTTCTCTTCTCTGCTTATATTTCTATTAATAGTTTCTTCAAGTCAGTGATGCTCAGTCATATTCAATGCAAATCCTAGCCCTAGTTTCCTACTCCCACACAGTAACATCACCACCCAGAAACCTCTCCACTATAGGAAAAGTACTATCTTTTCCATTACATCTATTAGAAGGCTTCACATCTCGCCTTTGCTCTTCTGAAGTTGACCTTCTTGGGGAGATGGCTCATAGAATGAGAGCTTTATCCTATTTTTTGAAGTTGACCTTCTAAATTTCTATCTTGTTCCAGCATCTAGGCTACCCTTCTTTCCCACTTTTTTTTTAAATTATTTATTTATTTATTTTTACCTTTTATTTAGAGTGCGTGTGTGTGTGTGTGGCCAGCTCAGCCCACCAGGGGGCGGGGCTGGCTGGCATGTGGTGCTGGGGGATTGAACCGCGGTCCCTGTGCTTTAGCTAAGCTTGTTCTAAGTAGGTGCTTTAGACCACTGAGCCATCTCTCCAGCCCCTTCTTTCCCACTTTTACACACTGCTGCCACAAGTATTTCTCACATTTCCTACCAACATAATCTGGGGCTCTCACAATTCATTGTTTCTGACCTAACGACGGTTCGGCAGTTTACAAGTTCATAAAGTATCTACTTTTGACCTTCATCTCAACCCACTGAAGACGTTAAACCACAAATTGCTACTCTGGCTTTAACAGCACGGAACGGAGGGGGTCTGGACAGCCTCGCCCGAGGTCACACAGGGTGTCCTCTCTGGGGAAGCGAGTCCTCTTCTCAGGATCGCATTAAGTACTCCTTTCTCCACATCCTACAATCCCTTCTCCACAGGTCGGCTGAGCCCCGGGGCTCCAAGTAGGCCGCGGCCGCCCCGTGCCACCACGCAGTCGGTAGGTTCTTCAGGGCTCCTCTCCTGAGGGACAGGTGTCAGGCCACCCTGTCAGGGTCACAGGCACCGCTCCCGCCCAGCCCCTATCCCAGCCAAGAAAAGTGGGCCTGGCTGGGAGGCCGGAAGCACGGCTCCAGACTCTTGAGAGGTGCAGAACGGATCAAGGGCTCACCACTGCGCCCCCCGTTGAAGCGTGGTCCTTAGCAAAGCGCCGAGCTCCGACTTCTGGGTCTCCACATCCGGTCGCTCACCGCATCCCCGGCCTTCCGCCATCTCGTCCGCCGCCCCGGCCCTGCCGGCCCGGACATCCGCCCCGCGCACGGCGTGCAAGGAGCCACGCCCACACACGCACGCACGCGACGCCGTGCGCGCGCCCGCCTGGCCCGAGTCTCGGCCTTGCACGCCCTCAGCCGCTACCGTCTCCCCGCCCCCACGCGCCGCAGTCTTCCAGCCAGCGCCCAACCTACCCCGCAGGCCCTGGGAGCAGCGGCAGGAGTTGGGGCGCGGCCACCGCTCCCTGCAGACTGCACCATGAGGTCTCCCCTCCGCCTGCTGGTGGTCAGGATGGCACCCGGGAGCGAAGGGCTCTGAGACCCACCTAGCCCGCGATCTCAGGACTTCGAGGTCCTAGAATTTGGGTTACTCCTCCTCACTCCTTGTCTTTGCGCTTCCAGCTTTAGGCCTTAGGCAAGTCCTTTGCTGCCCAACCGTGAAATCAGATGGGATCCCTGCTCCGCAGCTCTTATAGAAATATCAGGGGAGCGACAGACGCGTGGGTCAGGGTCTCCCTGGCTGGGTCTGGCTACTGTAATAATCTCCAAAGGTCCGGATCCAGCGTAGTTGGACCTGCCACCCTGCACAGGGAGCTACTTGTCTGGTGGTCAGGGGACCAGAGCCAGTGGTTGAGAGAGAGCCGGACAAATGTTTTTACACCAAGTGCCACAGTCATCTAGATTTGTTTCTGGAACAAGATACATTGCCCAAGCAGGATGTGGTGGTGCACGCCTGTAATCCCAGCACTCTGGAGGCTGAGGCTGGCGGATCCTTGCAAGTTCGAGACCAGCCTGGTCTGTGAGCTCAAGGCCTGCCTGAACTACATAGTGAGACCCTGTCTGAAAAAGACAAATAATAATGATGATAATAATAATAATATAAGAAGTAGGTGAACTTGTCTTAGAGTTGGAGCTTGTTTAGTTTAGGTGAGCTGGTTACAAAGTTATAGTAGGTCATTTGAGCTTTTATTTTATTTTTTTTATTTTTAAAACTTTATTCAGTATTGTCTTGACCATGATTAAAAGATGACATCGTCTTGTGACCTCCCAGAGGGTAAATGGGTCGCAGCTCATGTGCAAGTCCTCACAGTCCTAGCTTGGTCCTCCTCCAGTGTCTCCTCTTGGAGTTGTACCTGTCTTCATACGAATCCACTGAGGAATGGGGCGATTCTG